AAGTTTCAAACCGTAGCCTGGCCAATCACAAAACTCATTTTCAAAGCTTCTCTGATGCACACCGCACCATGCTGTGCTCCTCTAACCGCCCTGGTGTCTGGCTGCGCGTAATCAGCGGCCAGGCGATTTGCCTCTACCTCCCACCCAGCCATAAATGTCTCCCCCTTACTCTCACAGAGATTGTGGAGCGCACAGCAAGCAGCAATAACAATGGGGATATTCTTTTCGCCAAGGTCTGAGCGAGTCAATAAGCTGCGCCAGCGCGCTTTTAAACGCCCAAATGCACATTCCACCACCATTCGGCACTTGCTCAGCCTGTAGTTGAACAGGTCCTGATTCCTGTCCAGGCTGCCTGTGTACGGCTTCATGAGCCATGGCATTAAGGGGTAGGCTGGGTCCCCAAGGATCACGATAGGCATTTCAACATCCCCAATGGTTATTTTCTGGTCCGGGAAGAAAGTCCCTTCCTCCAGCTTTCGAAACAGAGCAGAGTGCCTGAAGACGCGAGCATCATGTACCCTTCCCGGCCAGCCCACGTTGATGTCGGTGAAACGTCCCTTGTGATCCACCAGGGCTTGCAGCAGCATTGAAAAGTACCCCTTGCTGTTTATGTACTCGGTGGCTTGGTGCTCCGGTGCCAAGATAGGGATATGGGTTCCGTCTATCGCCCCACCACAGTTTGGGAATCCCATTGCAGCAAAGCCATCCACTATGGTCTGCACGTTTCCCAGAGTCACTACCCTTGATATCACCAGGTCTCTCATTGCCCTGGCAACTTGGATCACAGCAGCCCCTACAGTAGATTTGCCCACTCCAAATTGATTCCCGACTGACCGGTAGCTGTCTGGCGTTGCAAGCTTCCACAGGGCTATCGCCACTCGCTTCTCAACTGTGAGGGCTGCTCTCATCCGGGTATTCTGGCGCTTCAGGGCAGGGGAAAGCAAGTCACAAAGTTCCATGAAAGTGCCCTTACGCATGCGAAAGTTTCGCAGCCACTGGGAATCGTCCCACACCTGCAGCACGATGCGGTCCCACCAGTCTGTGCTTGTTTCCCGGGCCCAGAATCGGCGTTCCACGGCATCAACCTGCCCCAGGAACACCATGATTTCCACATTGTTGGGGCTTGTGCCTTTGTGAGAGGTCTAGGTCCATGTCCATTTCCTCATCACTCTCGTCGCCGCGCTCTAAAAACCACCTCCTCGGCTGGTTCCGGTTTTGCTTTGGCATGTCCTGGCTCTGCATATACTCCAGGACAATGCGCGTGGTGTTCATAGTGCTCATAATTGCCGCGGTGATCTGAGCGGGCTCCATGATCCCAGTGCTAGCTATGGCGTCTGGTCTGAAAAAAGGCGCAAAAGTAGTATCTGACGGACCAGGGGAAGAAGGGAGGGAGGGGCGAGTGACGACATGGCGTACAGGTACAGGGAATTAAAATCAAGAAAGGTGGCTTTGCATCAGGGAGAAACACAAACAACTGTCACACAGAATGTCCCCCCCCCCCCCAAAGATTGAACTCAAAAGCCTGGGTTTAGCAGGAGGGAGGGAGGAAGCAAATGAATACAGAATAAATCTATTTTTTACATCTTAAGACGACGGTGCAGCATGACTGATAGCCCTCGGCATTTTCTGGGTGCTTGGCAGCAAATACTGGGCGCTTGGCAGTTAGCCTTCAGGTCTATTGCACGATCTGATACCCACTGCAGTATGACAACGATGGATACCAGTCGTAATATACTATCTACTGCCCAAAAGGCAAGGGGTTGCTGCTGTGTAGCAATCTAGCCCCACGTCTGCCAGCCCCATGTCTGCCAGCACCCAGATCGCCCTCGGCCTCTTCTGGGTGCTTAGCAGACAATACTGGGCACTTGGCAGAAAATAGCATACTACGACTCTGCTAACGTGCGATGATCCAACAGGGGGCATGGCAGAAAATGGCATACTACGACTGATAACCATCATTGTCTGCCCAGGTGTCCATGATCGATAGCCACTGCTGTCCGACGAGGACGGTTACCAGTTGTAATAAACCATCTACTGCCAAAAGGCAAGGGGGCTGGTGCAATGCAGCCCCACGGCTGCCAGCCCCACGGCTGCCGGCACCGAGATCGCCAATGAAGGCTACCAGTCATGCTGCACCGTCTACCGCCAAAAGGCAGTTAGCTGCTGCTGCTGCGTAGCAATGCAGTCCCACATCTGCCGGCACCTAGATGACATATGGTGACGGTGAGCTGAGCTGAGCGGGCTCCATGCTTGCCGTGGTATGTTGTCTGCACAGGTAACCCAGGTAAAAAGGCGCGAATCTATTGTCTGCCGTTGCTGTGACGGAGGGGGAGGGGCCTGACGACATGTACCCAGAACCCCCCGCGGCACTGTTTTGCATCATCCGGGCATTGGGATCTCAACCCAGAATTCCAATGGGTGGCGGAGACTGCGGGAACTGTGGGATAGCTACCCATAGTGCAATGCGCCGGAAGTCGACGCTAGCCTCGGTACTGTGGACGCGGTCCGCCGAACTAATGCACTTAGAGCATTTTATGTGGGGACACACACAATCGGCTGTATACAACCGATTTCTATAAAACCAGCTTCTATTAATTCGATCTAATTTCGTAGTGTAGACATACCCTCAGACAGTCCCATACCAGAATAGACCATAGCCCAATGGCTAGGACACTTTCCTGCAATGTAGGAGACCCAAGTCCAAATCCCTTCTCTACATCAGGCAGGGTCATCCACATCAGAGGTGAATTCTCTAACCCACCACTGAAGCTGCCTCTCCCCAGGACCGTTCAGGGAATCTAGTCTTCATTTGCTTTTTTCATAAATGCCAAAATCAAAATGAAAAATTTTGAGTCAGGCTGAAACAAAACATTTTGATTTTTTGTTTGGCCGAAACTATTTGGCGAACTTGGCATGAATTTGCAAATAGTTTTGTCTCTACAGAAACTGCATTTGTTGGCAAATAACTATTTGCTGAAAAAAAAGTCACCCAGCTCTATTCATCGCTTCATGTTCTGCTCCTCTCCAGAAATATAATGTCTTGAAATGTTGGTTAATTGTGTTAGACTACAAGATCTTTTGAAGATCTTATTCCCTGTAAAGTCCTTACACTTAGAACAGTTAAAAAGCAATAGCCATAATGGAAAGAAAAAAAGATATAACCATATAGTTTTCCCGTTAGCATTTTCTATGATGCGACCAATTAAAGGAGAAGTGTTTGATTATAATATTGTTGAAACGTCTTTCTTAATTTTCAAGAGATGTGATTTACTATTATTATTTACTTTTCCTTCTGTTAGCAGCAACTATATCCTAGGAGCTGTGCAGACAGAATAGAAAGGCAAAGCTCCTGCCTTGAAGAGAGTAGAGTTTAAAATCACTTCATTTGAATGAAAGCATTACATTAATGTCTGCACAGCATGGATTCACAGTGCTGAGGATTGCAAGTTTTTCTACAACTAAGATACAAATGATAGTGCAGAGGAGAATTTTGCCTTACATCTAAACTAGGAGTGCTCCACTGGCACTGGGTGACCAGATGTCCCAATTTTATAGGGACAGTCCCGATATTTGGGACTTTTCCTTATATAGGCACCTATAACACCACCATCCCCATCCCGATTTTTCACATTTGCTATCTGGTCATCCTACATTGGCACAGGAATATTATACTGGCAAAGCTGCACAGTGCACTTTGTACTGGTAGAGTGAAACCACCCCACCACAAACAAAACAAGCTATACCAGGAAAAGCACAGCTTTGCCATGTAATTGGGTCTACACAAGGGGCTTCTGCTGGCACGACTATGCTGGTTAGGGATCACACCTCTGACTGACATAACCATGCTGGCAGAAGTCAACATCGACCTGGCCTTACTCATTGAGAGTTCCTTGTATGTGAAGCAAGCACAGTACAGCAATAGTGCTCTGCACTGCATATACGACACCCACACACAGATCTAAGAGTAGCATATTTGCCTTATTTCTGAAGTAACTAAAGGCCAAAATCTACCCACAAATAGAGTTGTGAAAGTTTCATTGATTTCTCTGCATGTTTCTGAGGGCAGAATTTTAGCTCTAAACCAATATTATTTTGAAGACTTAATCATCCCCTAGAAATGATAAGCCTGCATATCTAATTAAACCCTATGCTACACAGTGGATGACCTTATATTTTCCTTACTAACAAATCAAGTTATTTGCAACACTCTCGGATGCATTAGAACAGACAGAGCTAATACGTTTCTTGATGACACAATGGAATATTACATTTGAGCATACAAACACCTACGTAAATTCTGATCAGTGTTTAAGGAATTCTGAAACCTTCTCTTCAGACCCAAACTGGAGAAATGTGCATAACAAATAAGAGGCCAGATCCTTAGCTGGTGTAAACTGGCTTAGCTCCTTTAACTTCAATAGAGCTAAACTGATTTAGACTGGCTGAGGTTCTGGCACATGGTTCATTACTCAAACCACCAGTTAATAGCCCATCTTTATTTATGAGAAAAAGTCTCTATAGTAATCTAAATATTTGTTTCTCGTCAAATTTTTTGTTTAGCTGGTAAATTAAACTGCTATTCAATAATGTGTCTAAGCTGACAAATTGTTCAGTAATGGGCCTTTCCAATTATATCTTTGATTAAGCTATTCCCTATCATTTTCTAAAATCTACTACTGCCGATATAAAAACTGAAATAAACTTCTCCCACCCTCTTCCAAATGGAGAAAGTAATAATAAAATAGCAAGTTTAATCTTAACAATGAGAGAGAAACAATACAAATTACCTCATTACAAAGTTTTAGAACTCTCAGGCACAATTGAGCCTGAATGCAAACTACTAAAATATTTAGCTAAGTATGATTTCCATGCCTTGCCCATGCAACTTTATAAATAACTAAACTCCATGATACAAATATAAAGCACCTTTAAAAAAAATTGCACAAAACTCAATAAATCTGCATCAGAATAGGACTTGCAAAAGTACCAAAGGATCTTGCCTTATAAAAAGATCTTCCACAGGTATCGCTTTCGTCGGGTCCACACAAATCTCCTTCCTTGGCTGCGATCATGCCAGCAACACAGCTGTTTTCTTTTAAGTATGAGACACAACACTGCTGCTGAGCAATTCTGCAAAGATGGAACAGGATTAAGTGTTAACTGGCATTCAAAAGGTAGTGCCATCAGGTTGCAAGAATATACAGTAAGAATGTGTGCCACTGGACATAGAAATATGCATTCCATGACCTTTTTTCACATGTATACTATACTATGTGTGACATCTTGTTGCCACTGAAGTAAATGGGAGTTTTGCCATTGACTTCAATGGAGCCAGGATTTCACCCATTAAATTCTATCTTAGATTGGAAAACGTGACTTATAATGAAAGACTTAAGGAGCTCAATCTGTTTATCTTAACAAAGAGAAGGTTTGATCCCAGTCTATAAGTACCTAAATGGAGAATAGAAATTTGATAGTAGAAAGCTCTTCAATCTAGCCTGCAAAGATATAAACAAGAGCCAATGGCTGGAAGTTGAAGCTAGACAAATTCAGGCTCAAAATAAAGTGCAAATATTTAACCTGGAGAGTAAATAATCATTGGAATGACTACTCCGGTATTGTGGTGGGTTCTCCATCACTAGACATTTTTAAATCAAGATTCTATATACTCTCTCTCTCTCTCTCTCTCTCTAGTTCAAACAGGAATTAATTCAGTGAAGTCCTGTGGCCTCCTGGTTATACAGGAGGGCAGACCAGATGATCACAATGTTCTCTTCTGACTTTATAATCTATCAATCAGCATTCAGATAACATAATGCCTGGCACTATATAAATACTATAGACCAATGGATTAAACCTCATTCAACATATAGCAGTGGTGGGCAACCTGCGGCCCATCAGGGTAATCTGCTGGCAGGTTGCGAGACAGTTTGTTTACATTGACCATTGTGACGGGTTGGATCACAGAAACCCCTTTGAGAACTGCCAACTGATGTGCCAAGACTACTCCTGCTTTCCTGCCCTGGCAGCTTAGGACTCCAGCACCCTGTCTTGCTAAGCCAGACACGCCCGACTGCTCCAACACAGACCCAGGGTCTGAATTACTTGCCTCACAGCTGCAGACTTAACTGAAAGCAGCTTACAGAAGTGTTCTTGCCTTTAACACTCAGATGCGCAATTCCCGATGGGGTCTAAAGCTTATAATCTACTGAGTGTGAGCATCCTATTAAAGCTTATACAGGGTAAACTCATAAATTGTTCGCCCTCTATAACACTGAGAGAGAGAGAGATGCACAGCTGTTTGCCACCCCCCGCCCCCAGGTATTAATACATACTCTGGGTTAATTAATAAGTAAAAACTGATTTTATTAAATACAGAAAGTAGGATTTAAGTGGTTTCAAGCAGTAACAGACAGAACAAAGTGAATTACCAAGTAAAATAAAATAAAACACGCAAATCTAAGTCTAATACAGTAATACAATTGAGTACAGATAATATCTCACCCTGAAAGATGCTTCAATAAGTCTGTTTCACAGACTGGACACCTTCCTAGTCTGGGCACAATCCTTTCCCCTGGTACAGCCCTTGTTCCAGCTCAGGCGGTAGCTAAGGGATTCCTCATGATGGCTCTCCTCTTTGTTCTTTATATATCTTTTGCATAAGGCGGGAATCCTTTGTCCCTCTGGGTTCCCACCCCCTCCTTCTTAATGGAAAAGCACCAGGTTAAAGATGGATTCCAGTTCAGGTGACATAATCACATGTCACTGTAAGACTTCATTACCCACTTGCCAGCACACATGTATACAGGAAGACTTACAGGTAAACCAGAGCCATCTGCAGTCAATTGTCCTGGTTAATGGGAATCAAGATTCCAAACCACCATTAATGGCCCACACTTTGCATAATTACAATAGGCCGTCAGAGTTATATTTCATATTTCTAGTTTCAGATACAAGAGTGGTACATTTATACAAATAGGATGCTCACACTCAGTAGATTATAAGCTTTGTAATGATACCTTAGAAGAGACCTTTTGCATGAAGCATATTTCAGTTGCGTTCGCATATTTTCAAAAAATCATATAGAGTGCAATGTCATAACCATCCGCAAGCACGGCTGCCTGCAGCTCCCAGTGGCCGTGGTTCGCCGTTCCTGGCCAATGGGAGCTACAGGAAGTGGTAGCCAGCCCCCGCCACTTCCCGCAGCTCCCATTGGACAGGAAGGGCAAACTGTGGCCACTGGGAGTTGTGGGCAGCCGTGCCTGAGGACAGTCAATGTAAACAAACTGTCTCGTGGCCCGCCAGGGGGATTACCCTGATGGGCCGCGTGCAGCCTTCGTGCTGCAGGTTGCCCACCACTGACATATAGTATTATACTCATGTTCTTAACCTTATGGTTTTGTGGTGGACCCATTTTGAGGTGATACAAGAGAAGTAGGGAAAGGATTTACTTTCTCCAGGCAGAACCCTTATTGCTGGTGACAGCCAATTCCAGTGCCTGCCACAAAGTATAAGAATTGTCCAATAGGGGGCATCCTGGTAACAGTGCACCCAAAGGGCATAAACTCAATCTTCTCCAACCCGCAGTCTCACAAACATGCACTGGTTGTAAGGGATGTTGCTTTTTAACAGCCAATGGCTAATAGCCAGTTAATTATCCTTTACTGACAGCAAGTTCCAAGCCAAAAATGGTTGTCAATAAGATATGTATGATTATTACAACAAAGAAACAAGTCTCCCTGGAAGCAAACTCCCCCCTCCTTTTGTTTTTCCCCTGAGAAAAAATATTGCCAATTCATTTTTTTCCTGATGCTTGAAAAAAAAATTGGAAGGAGATGTCTCATATTCCTGCACAAACTAGCCCGTGACTGCAACTTGGCCATTGGCCATTCACACTTAAAATGTCAATGGCCAGCCGCACCAGGTTTAAGTTAATATTTACATGCTGGACAATGTATGAATAGTGTTATCAGTTAATCACTGGTCTGTGGTTGAATAAAGGAAGAAGGTCTTTTTTCCCTTTGTGTTTTGTTTTTTCAGTAATGTTTGCTTCTTGTTTCACTGTGAATTGACAACTAGAAAAAAAACATAGCCGTTTGTTTGAAATTTTAGTGGTTAATGTCCAACCATATTTGAGGATTGAATCTAATTTTTTACTGCCATCATAGGACATCTGAAATTTTATTGATGGCTCTTTGAAAATGTCCAAGAGACCACACTGAATGAAGTAGTTTTTGTGGACGTAAAGCACCTACAATCCAAAAATCATTAGCTGCTGTTAAAAGGCCGAAGTCTGCATGGATTAACGTTCCTCAGAAATATAACATTTTGCCATGAAAAAAAGAGTACAATGGTGATCCAGTGCTATTGGAATTGGTTATTTTTATACTTGTAACTTCTTTAGGGCTGGTCTTCACTATGGGGAGATCAACGCTGCTGCAATCGACACACCAGCAATGCTTAAATTGCAGCAAGGGAGGTTTAAATTGGACATTAGGAAAAAGCTTCCTAACTGTCAGGGTTGTTAAGCACCGGAATAAATTGCCTAGGGAGGTTGTGGAATCTCCATCATTGGAGATTTTTAAGATCAGGTTAGACAAACACCTGTCAGGAATGGTCTAGATAATACTTAGTCTTGCCATGAGGCAGGGGACTGGACTAGATGACCTCTCAAGGTCCCTTCCATGTCTATGATTCATGTAGCTGGAGTAGCGTCCCTTCGGTTGACTTATCCCGGTAGTGAAGACAAGCCCTTAGACATTTCAAGATGGTTTAATTTTGGGTACTGTACCACTGAACCATTAGCGGAGCAGATAAAAGCTTTACATTATGTACTCTTATTTATTTCCTATTCACAAACCCATTCTTAGATGGCTATGTAGATGGATTGTTGGATTCTGGGGCCTTTCTTAAAAATTCACACTGGTGTAATTACATCAATGTATTAAATTGGTGCAAGCCTCCAATATAAACATGCTTCCCTGACACAAAGCAGGGCTTGAACCAGTGCAGTTCAACAAGGTAACATATGTCATGGGATAAGAAAGAAGGTCCCCGCAGGGATCTGTAACTGGCTAAAAGATAGGAAACAAAGGGTAGGAATAAATGGACAGTTTTCACAGTGGAGAGAGGTAAATAGAGGGGAGGGATAGCTCATTGGTTTGAGCATTGGCCTGCTAAACCCAGGGTTGTGAGTTTAATCCTTGAGGGGGCCACTTAGGGATCTAGGGCAAAAATCAGTACTTGGTCCTGCTAGTGAAGGCAGGGGGCTGGACTTGATGACCTTTCAAGGTCCCTTCCAGTTCTATGAGATAGGTATATCTCCATAGCAAGGTTCTCCAAGGACCTGTTCTGGGATCAGTGCTGTTCAACATATTCATAAGTGGTCTGGAAAAGATTTTAATACAGTAAATTAACCCTTGTTTAAAATATTTAAGACATTTTAGCTAGTTTTGACTTTTCTCATTGACATTATGGATAGAATATTGCACGTACCCCAATAATACCCAGGTCAAACTGGCTGCAAAGTTTGCAGATGATACAAAATTACTCAAGATCGTTAAATTCAAAGTTGACTGGGAAGAATTACAAAGGGATCTCACAAAACTGGGTGACTGGACAACAAAACAGATTAAATTCAATGTTGATAAGTACAAAGTAATGCACATTGAAAAACATACTCCCAACTGTGCATACAAAATGATGGGTTCTAAATTAGCTGTTACAGCACAAGAAAGAGATCTTGGATTGATCATGGATAGTTCTCTGAAAACATCTGCTCAATGTGTAGCAGCAGTCAAAAGCAAAACCATAAGCAAAGGAATAGATATTAAGATAGAAAATATAAATACCACTATATAAGTCTATGGTACACCCACACCTTGAATACTTAGTGCAGTTCTGGTCATCCCATCTCAAAAAAGATACATTAGAATTGGAAAAAGTACAGAGACGGGCAACAAATATGATTAAGAGTATAGAACAACTTCCATATGAGGAGAGATTTAAAAGACTGGGACTGTTCAGCTTAAAAAAGAGATGACTGGGGGGATATGATAGAGATCTAAAAAATTACGAATGGGGAGAATAAAGAAATGTTATTTACCCCTTCAAATAACACAAGAACCAGGGGTCACCCAATGAAATTAATAGACATCAGGTTTAAAGCAAACATAAGGAAGTATTTCTTCACACAAAGCACAGTCAACCTGGAGATGTTGTGAAGACCAAAAGTCTAACTGGGTTCAAAACAGAATTAGATAAGTTCATGGAGGATAAGTCCATCAATGGCTATTAGCCAAGATGGTCAGGGATGCAACCCCATGCTCTAGGTGTTGCTAAACCTCTGACTGCCAGAAGCTGGGACTGGATGACAGGGGATGGATCACTCAACAATTGTCCTGTTCTGTTCATTCCCTCTGAAGTATCTGGCCCCAGCCACTGTTAGAAAACAGGCTACTGGGCTAGATGGACCATTTTCTGACTCAATATGGCCATTCTTTATGTTCTTATCTATATAAACGGGATGGGTGTAAGCCCTGCTTTATTCTAGTGTGGTGCATCTATATTAGGAGTTTGTATTGGTTTGACTGCATTGATGTAGTTATCCCAGTGCAAATTTCCTTAATGTTGACAGGTCTTCAGCAGAACTTTTCTATGCTCTAGCAGTCACTCCTTGTTAATTTATTGCTGTCATTTCTTGGCAGTCAGTTTGACCCAGGAATTATTGGGTTATATTCAACACTATATCCATAATGTCAAAGAGAAAAGTCAAAACTAGCTAAAAAGATCTTACATATTTTAAACAAGGGTTAATTTACTGCTTAAAATGAGGAGGACTGGGGGGAAGGGGAAGGAAGAAAAACGTATACCATTATAGTTTTGGGTTGTTTTTAAACTTGTGACTCCTGGATATAGTAAGAAAAATCTCACTGTCTGGGTGAGCTAAATACCATGTCTGTATTAACTATACAGAGGGCAGGGCGTCTCATTTCACACATCATTCCCAATGAGCGGCATGAATCCCAAAAAGTTGTGCAAACTTTATACTAACCTAAACTTCACACCAATAAAAATAATTTTAATTCATATATTTTCCATTCCCCACCTAGAGGAATTGTTCCATCATGGAACAAGCAAAAGTTAGGCCTGGTGGGTAGGTGAATAGAAAACATCCAAGGAAAACCCAGGTGCTGCAAGAGGCGGTGTGGGTGATTTAGTTAGTAGCACCACAGCCTTTGAATCTGTACTGATCTAATGCCCCAGCATAGTGCTACGGGACACTAATGTTGGGACATTCTAGGCTCACCTCAACTGGTGTAAATTGGCATAGCTACCAGCCCCATGAAGCTGTGCTCTTTTACTCCAGCTGAAGATCTGGCCCTTTCATCTTTCAGATGTGACAAAAGATCAAGTGCACTTTTGATCATTTGCAAAAAAAAGTCTAGTTCTTAATAATTTGCTATCCTGGACACAATAGTAGTTAACCTGTAGAGTCTATGTCATCCTGTATTTTTCTGGATACCAATAGAACTGAGTTAGCTGCTCTGCAGGTACTTGGTTGCCCATAGGTACTTACAGACATTTTGACATACAAATAGAACATCTATATGTGTATCTGTATGATGCAGGTGCAAACAGCCATGCCTGCTTTAACAGCTCCTAAAGGACACAATCGGTTTTCTGTCCAGGTTTTCATACTCTGCCTATCATCATAGCATCTGATTGATTTATAGGATACAGATTCTAGCATTTGTTACATGAAGTTTTTGAATCTTTAAAACACGTGTATGAGTGCAACTGTTGTAATTTTGCAAGTGCAGACGTGGAGCTTATGTTTTCCAATTCATATATTTGTTGTGTGTAAATACTGCTATATTACAACCCAATGGACTGGATTTTAATCTCACTTACATTGGTTTTCAACAGTGTAGCACCTCTGACTTCAATAGATTTACTGCTCCTTTCCACCAGCACGAGTTCAGAAATAAGACCAGCATCTTAAAATGCTGAAATCACTTTAAAGAATCCGCATGGTTTTCATATTTGACACTCAAATTATTTTGTTTCTACTTCTGCCTCTTTTTCAGACTAGAAAGAGAGAGGGTATGAAATGGAATTAAGTTAACATGTTATCCATGTTACCCCGCTCTTTTCTTAACTGCCATCCTTTTCTTCTCCACATTGGGATGAGATCAGATATCCTCACCCACCTAGAGCAGTACTTAATGTGGCAAGCACTTCCCTTGATTCCAATGGGGCTATGGGATCAGTGGTGTCCAATTACAGGTGAGCAAGGGCATCAGAACCTAGCCTTTGGAACATATTCTCCCACCTACCAGATTAGTTGTCAAGTTTACCATTTAAGAAAAAGTAAGGAAAATAATTTAATTTAATATTTGTCAACAAAAGTGTAAAGAACATTCGGCTGCACTGTCTTAAAATCTAAAAACTCCACCAATCTGGGTACAACAGGGAAGCTAAACACTGGATTTTGTTTTTGAGCAGCACAAACTTTAAAAGCTTCTGTTTACATTAGGTTCTAGATCTTGGGAAAAACTCTTCTCATTCTGCCCTTACATATTGCCAGTCAGCCAGCAGTCTAATCTGGAGGATGGACTTGGTTCTAGCCCCCTGGAGATTGGCCAGTTCATGCAATCATTAGGCTTCCTCTAAAGCAATCTCACTGAATGACTCTGGATCACTTTGTTTTTGGTTTACGTACCTGCAAATATCACCATCAGTCCCACTGACTGGGATTTCTGTGCATTCCCCATTGTCTATAGCCCACTGTTGTCCAGCTGCACAGCAAGTTTCAATTAAGTCCTTTGTGGAACCTGAAAAAAAGGAGACACATAAGATGGTTTTGTGAGGAGAGTTTTTGTTTTTAATTGAAAATAGGTTTCAAATAAGAGGACTTTTAAAATCTTCTATTGGCTAAATGCACAGCTTGAAAATTCATTGATCAGGACACACAGATGAATGAAGATAGACATAGGGATGGACTTAAGTGGCAGGCTGAAATTTTATTAACTTAACACTGGGGAGCGGCGCTATATGCCCAACTTCCACCTTCTCTCATGTACCAGGCCTATAAATGGATCTAACACGGGGTGGGCAAACTTTTTGGCCCGAGGGCCACATCTGGGTATGGAAATTGTATGGTGGGCCATGAATGTTCACAAAATTGGGAGTTGGGGTAAGGGAGGGGAGGAGGGCTCTGGGGTGGGCCTGGGGATGAAGGGTTGGGGGTGCAGGAGGGTGCTCTGGGCTGGGACCGAGGGGCTCAGAGGGCAGGAAGGGGATCAGGGCTAGGACAGGGTTGGGGCACAGGAGGGGGTCAGGGGTGCAGGCTCTGGGTGGCGCTTACCTTAAGCAGCTCCTGGAAGCAGCGGCATGTCCCCCCCTCTGGCTCCTATGCAGAGGCGCGGCCAGGCAGCTCTGCATGCTGCCCTATCCGCAGGCGCCACCCCTGCAGCTCCCATTGGCTGCGGTTCCTGGCTGCCCCTACGTGTAGGAGCCGGAAGGGGGACATGCTGCTGCATCTGGGAGCCGCACAGAGCCACAGCATGCATGGAGTGGGGCAAGCCCCGGATCCAAACATATGAAGGGCCGACTGTGGCTCCCAGGCCATAGTTTACCCACCCCTGGTCTAACGTGTGGTTAAAGGGCTCCCACCATATAATCCATAATGCAGGTAGACCCTCCCTGACCTAGAACTCAACTAACTTCTGAATTCTTTCACCCTCTTTCCCATGAGGGGAGTAAAAAGATACCAAAAGGGTCTGTGAACTATGCATCCATGATTCTGTGATGATGGTGTCTGTCTGTCACTCTCTCTCACAGACACACACACACAGGCCCTCTGCTAATTTGGCCCAATGGGAAAAATTCCTTCCTGAACCCAACGTAAGTGATTGGTCAGACTCACAGCATCCCTAACACACAGTGTCCATACTACAACTACAGAGAAAGAGGGAGGATGGGCAGCTGAAGGGGACAAAAGGCCCCCAATAGATTTAAATTAATGGGGGAGAGTAAGGGGGCCCAATCAATACTCAAGCACCCCTCTGCATAGCTAATAGGAGATGGTGAGCCCTTGGAGAAGGGGCCCAGCCCTACATTCCCAAGCATGCACTCTCCCTCTTCTTTCTGGCCTATCTATCCTACTGCCAGTCTGACCAATCTTCCTCCCCAGGGAGATGGGGGCGGGCTGGCATTTGGGTTTTCAGCATTTAGAAGACAACACAGAAACAGCAATCTTCATTTTGAAAAAAAACAGTACAAATGTAGTTCTCCGGACTCAATCCTTCTCCCGCTGAAGTCAATGGGACTTTGTTTATTGACTTAAATGGGAGCAGGAATTGGTCCTATGTCTATCTTTAAATGGTTTCCATAGCTCTGCAATGAATGCTTGCAAAGCATTCAAAGTTTAATCAAAGGTTATACTTAAACCTATCTTTGGAAAATGAATATCTTTAGAGCGTGATCATTCCAAAGATATTTAGTGGTGCACAAAACAAAGTACATACTGAAACTTGCCCTCAACCATTTGAAATTTATATAAAGATGCATCTCCACTGGCATACTATGTTTCCTAGCTGGTTGTGTGCACTGCACGTACATACACTATGTGATGGACATTTTGGGAGGACAGAGATTTGTATAACCCATAAGTAGATCATTTACTCCATACTAATTCAATATACCTTTCTTTGTATTATACTAATAAGGAACACAGGCAGGATTATTACATAGTAACAGCCTCTATTCCTGGTCTGATGAGACAAAGAAAGGGGTGAACATTCCATCATCCAGCATGGTTGGACATATTGGAGCACACAACATTTTCTTTTAAGGAGACAACTAGAAGATTTAAATGGGAGGAAAGCCATAATTTGTTTGAAGATAAATCCATCTTTGAGACATCCAAAAACCACAATAAAAATCACATTTGATTCAGTTCTCAGATGGGTTTAGTTTGTTACCGAACTGTTTACATGTAATGGGGACTCTCCCTTCAGTAGTTGGGAGAGGAGATCCATTACAACTTGTGCATAAACACTACATAACAGATATGCATGAATATTTCCTTGATCTATTGCACATGCATGCCTCAGTGCTGCTATGTTTCATTGAATTATACAAGATGAATGAAATTTAACATACAAGTAGTAAAAAGACATAATGACAACAAACTGTGAACAAATGTTCTTTGTCATGGTCCCAGGAAGCTAACAGGATTTAGCAAGGGTTTTGTTCTGTAGATTTTGACAGATGAAGTGTTAAGAAATTGTTGCCATAAAGTGGATTAAAGTTTTGCTCATACAACGTTTTCCTGGAATATAATCCTAGAGCTGAATTTGATGCTTTAGTTGGTTTAAGCCACAATAAAAAGGCCCTGAGAGACATAGCGCTGAATCGGCTGATTAGCTGATGTAAAACACAGGTGTAAGATGTCGTAAAAAACATGGAAGTCTGGAACACTGCGCTATTTGATACATTTTCCCTACTGGATTAACATTTAAACAGTAACGCTCAGGAATAAATGAAACATAATTTACACTAGCAAATTTTCAACGTCTCAAACAAACATATGATTTTATAAAATACAGAGGGAGGACTCTCTTTAGGACAGGGACAGTATTTCATTATGTCTGTACAGCACCAAGCCCATGTCTGGGGACTTGCTGTGTTACTGTAATGCAAATAACAAACAACAATATTAATAATGGCCATCAAAGTGATACTAGATTGCAGGGCTTGGAACTTGAGGACTGGCCCCAACCCCTGACACCTTCTGGCCATTGGTGTGCCACGTCTATTAGGAAGGTCCTTGCATTGGCTAGTGGGTGGTGAGATACCACCTTAAAAAAACAGGTGCAAGCAGGTACCCACCTCCCTACTCAACTCAATGATCCCCAACAAGCCTGCAGCAACAAGTAGTGCTTCTGCTGATGCGCTGGCTATGGGACCTACCTAGGTCAGAAAGTGACCAGCTATGTACTTTTTAGTGGGATTTTGAGGTTTAAAGGATACATTATACGGGATCCAGTGTTATGAGTTTAGACTTCTGATAAACACGCTGATGAAAATGGCAAGCAAAGCATATTAAAACAAAATTAAGAGTTATGAAAAGAGACAGTGGAATTTTACCCAGCTTGAATCATGGCACATCTTGTCCTTTTGTTTGGCTAAAAAACGATACCCGAATTATTTTGAAAACCATACTTTTTAAGTGCTTAATTTGCACAGAGACAGAGAATGCTTTCCACGCCTCGTTAACCTTTCCAGACCAAATTCTGGTTTTAACTAATTACCGGGGGTTACCTACAGATGGAAACAATAGGATGAAAGCATTCCACAATTTTGTCTGGCACCTGAAATGTGTGACTTCCATGGATGGCAATGGAAGTTAGGCAGCTAAATCCTGAGCACCAGGGCCGCCCCAAGCAGCCAAACAAAAAACAAAACAAAAAAAATAGCCGTGATCGCGATCTGCGGCGGCAATTCAGCGGGAGGTCCTTCGCTCCAAGCAGGAGTGAGGGACTGTCCGCCGAATTGCCGCCGAACAGCTGGAGGTGCCGCCCCTCTCCGAAGTGGCCGCCCCAAGCACCTGCTTGGTAAGCTGGTGCCTGGAGCCGGCCCTGCTGAGCACCACTTCAAAAAGTGTTGGGATGTATTTGTCAAAACCGTAACAAGGTTCAAAAAAGAACTAGATAAATTCATGGAGGATAGGTCCATCAATGGCTATTAGCCAGGAATGGGTAGGGATGCAAAACCATGCTCTAAAGTGTCACCAGCCTCTGTTCGCCAGAAGCTGGGAATGGGCAACAGGGGATGAATCACTTGATGACTATCTGTTCTGTTCATTCCCTCCTAAGCACCTGTCAGAAGACAGGATACTGGGCTAGATGGACCATTGGTCTGACCCAGTATGGCCATTCTTATGTTCTTCTCTACCAATACTCAGGTGAGTAATACTTATACAGGAAAGAGGGAAATCAAGACTTCCTGCTCTATAATGGCATTATCAACAATTTCATTGCTCTAGAATCACAATAAGACTCATTAGGGGCCCAGTGTTTTAAAAGTGTCAAAGGATCTGAGACAAAAATGGAAGAAATTGAGCTTTTCCTTGATTAGAGACCTGCAATATTCTTGTGTATTACATTATTACAATCTAATTAGTAAGAATGATTCAATACGCATTCCATTGAATAGTCTGTTGTGCTCAGCAACCAAGAATATGACTCGCAAGTTGTAATCTTTCAGTTATATAGTTTTCCATTATTATAAATCTCAGTGTTGTTGCCTTGTTTTTTGCATGTCAGCTGTAATGTTAAATGGTGGTTATTCCAGTATACTGAGTTTGCTGAAAAAAGTAAAGCAACATCCTTTGCAGAATTTACGTAGGTGTTTGTATGCTCTGCAAGTTTACAAAAGGGTTCTGTCTCCGATTAGGGTACTGTGCCAAGCCATACTATATTTCTTCTAAAATGTAATAATATTTACAGTTATTGACAGACATTGACATAAAGGGCTAGTGTCCAAAACATCTGGATATATATGCCACAAGATTAACAATGAAGTACGTATCTACTCGTTCAGAAGCCGAATTTTTTTAGTAAAAAAGGGAAGCACCAGAGAAGGGGGTCGGCTTATGAATGGGTATAGAGAGGGTGAGGTGGGACACAGCCCCTCCCCCCAACAGAGGGAGCAAGGAGAGGCAGCACAGCCAGCAGAGCCAGAAGGGAAGAGGTGGGGCCAGAGTCTCTCCACTTCTGGCCACGCTGCTCTCCCCCCCAGCCTCCAAAGTAGCTGCAGCTCCGGGGGG